GGCGGCGGAGGAGGAGGAGGGGGCTGCCCCCGAGGCGCGGCCCTAAGCGGAGCCCTAGGACCGGTGCGCATCTCCCAAAGCATCTCCCCCCGGTTCGATGCCTCTTCTTCTATCTCTAGGGATTCCGGACACGAGTCTGGAAAAGCCCCCCCCCTTGACGACTACAACTTCCACAATCCACTGCCGGTGCCCGGGAGGAGATTCAGGGAGTTCCAATGCACACCTTCAGCGACAACAAACGTCTTGGGAGCGATGTTCTGGGCATTTTGCTACCCGAGGCAGGGGCGGGGCACCACCCTCATCGAACCTCAGTCATATAAGGAAGGACTAAAAAGAAAAATCTCTCAAACATCATAAGGGATTCTCTCGCCAACAATAGATGGCTGCGAGCTGTCACTGTTATGACACGCAATAATCTGGTGTGGCATTTGGGAGTAATTAAGATTAGAGATGGGAACGAATTAAAAAACGAATCACCAAATTCATATTTAAAATTGCTAATCCTTGATTCGTATGAATCAATGCCCCTGATGAATACGAATCAACAATGTTTAGCAATTTTTTAATCCATTGGGCTTTAAAATGCACGGCCCCCCAGCTAGAGACACCAAATTGCAGAGAAGCTTCGACTAACTCTCCACTACAATCCTTCCAAGTTTAGTGAAGATTGGGTTTCCCCAACCCTGCTGGTAAAGGGCATTTTCCTGGGGGGGGTACCCACTTTGTGAGTGTATAACACAGATGTCTGAAGCCCAATCTTCATCAAACATGGAGGAATCGTAGAGGGGAATCAGGAGAACCCTTCCTAAAACGTTGCTGTTTCTAGGTGCCTGGGGGGAATTTTCATGGGAGGGGCCTCTTTGTAGGGGCACAGCTTGGACAACTCAAACCCAAACTTCACCAGACTTTCAGTGCTTGTAGTGGAGAGTCAGGGAAAGCTTTCCTGGAATTTTTAATTTCTCCAGGTGCTTGGCATTTTATAAGGAAAAATTAATCAACACACTGATTTATCAATTAGGAAAAAATCATAAATTTGTTAGTCATGATTGATCGACCGTGATGAATCATGAATCAAAATTAATCACCATTTTTCTGATCATACTCAGGGTCAAGAACTGGTTGCTCTTGTTCAAATTTCCTCATTCAGACAGGATCATCTGAGCCTTCATTGAAACCCGAGGGATATGAGATTTATTAATACTCTTGATATGTCTTACCCTTTTTCTGGGGTTTGCGAAACGGTTGACGTCACTGAGGTTGATTTTGATTGTGAAGGGATGATGTAGATGGTGCTGGAGCTGAAAATGATCTCTCCGTTGGCGTGAGCTGAATTGTCTGTACGGTTGGAATCTTTGGTATGGTTGCTGCTGAAATGATTGTGGGTAAAATTGTGATTGCTTTATTGAGGTCATGAGTATTGAAAGGACTGTTGGTTGGTGTAGGAGCTTGCCCCTTTTTTTGTATTTTGTGAAGATTCTCCCTGGTCTCGTCTGTTTTTCAATTAAAGAGTCCAGTGCACTTGAAGGGAAGATCTTCAATCCTCAACTTGGCATCATCAGACAAACCGGTAGACCTAAGCCATGCATGTTGGCGTAGCGATATCGAAGATGCCAGGGTTTTTGATGCCACGTCCACTGCATGTCTAGCAGCTGTTCTCTGTTGTTTCATAAGAGATGTGGCTTCTGGATGTCCATTAATCATTTCCATTTGATTGATTCAGGTGCAGATTCCAATA